CTGCCGGCTTTTCCTCCTTCTGCAATTTATTTTATTTTTTTTAACCCAAAATGGGGGGGGGGGTTGGGCCCTCCCCAAGATCCGTGACTGCAACACTTGTGCAGAGCCAGTATTACACTAGTCACTAGTTATTTGGAAAGGAAACATGTAACAGGGGCCAACCTTAAAATATAATATTTAATCATTAAATTGACACCAAATTTCAAGAAATAAAACAAAACACAGTCTCAAATCATGGGATTATGTTATTACATGATAATATCATCAATAATGTTTTTCACAGTCTGGTATTTTTATTAAGATTGTCTTTTCCTGTCCGGGGAGGTCGTCATTAAACTTTCATTATCCAAGAGTCCTGATAATAACATTAAGAAATACAGAATAAAGAAACCACTGACAATATTCAGGATCCTGACAACCTTGGCTCCTCTAGGCAAACATGAAAAAATTTTGCAAGCAAAGCCATTTGTCCTCTCCAGAACACTCTTGGCATGTTCCACTCTGCTTGCCATTTCTTTTTTCACCCTATAACTCCAGTCAGGAGCCTGTTCACAGACTGACTGTGTTAATCTTCGGCTTGCACATGTGGTATATTTCAAGTGCCAGTAAGAGTTTGTTTTTCTTTGTTTCTTTTGACAATCATTCTTTCACTTTAAACAAAACCTCTGCAATTTGACCCGTGAGTATCTCGTCCTCTGGATCATATTCAGGATAATTGAATGTAAATGACACTCCAGCACATTCAACATCATTAAGAACCCAACCTTCAACATGAGAATCAGGGCCATTTATCACCACCTCAAAACAGTACTCCACATCTTTCTTCAATGTCACTGGATAATCAAATAAAACGTCAAAACCATAATAATAAGAGGGACAGTTACAGTCAGCCTCTAACTTCACATGGAGGGACGTAAACACTCCAGTCTTAGCTGCAAGAAATATGGCATCATCATTGTTTGAGAAGTTTAAGGTAACTGAATAATCAGCATACATGTACTTATTGCCAAACAAGGCAACACCATACAACATTATGTCCTTGTCCACGGTTACTTCGATCAGATAAGGTCTGTCAAGGCCGTTATTGTGCAAGATGCTACTCATGTTTGCACGTTCAGATCTGCAACATCGCAAACAAGAACCAGCTCTTTCAAATACCAGGAATCCAACTGGTGAAGTCAATGTGGAACTGAAATAGTTTACAATGTTACTGGTTTCCTCTTCTGTCAATATCTGACTGGCAGAAACAACCTCCAAGAAGTCACTCTGCCTCATGGCTGGAAAACGTAAATTTTTGACAATCAGTTCCCCAAGAATTCGCCTTTTGACCGGCCCATCCACTATAAGTTTTTGCCTCTCACATTCTCCCTCTGCCCAGCGATCCACAGCCTTAAACAACTCCACCTCTCTGACGTTCAAAGAACTTCTTGCCACAAGTTGTTCAAGCAGAGATTTTTCAATCGTCATGAATTCACTTGATTTCAACGCCTCGTCTGTCTTCTTGTCGATTAAATACCAGCACTGAAACAAGAGATCCTTCTTTTTAAACTGTTGTGAGTGTCTCAAGACACAAAATACATTGGATGGATCAAGATTCTTCTTGAGAAATTCCACACATTCTCTTACCAGGCAAGGTATAAGATACTTTTCGGCTGCATACAACACTTGCATCACGTTATTTCCGGTCAAGCAGACTTCATCGGTATAGATGTAACGCAGCAATTCAAACACACCTTCGTATTCACAGTCAGGAAGATCAATCTGATCGCTGGTTTCAGCCATTTCACCGGAAAACATTTTAAAGAACACGGGACTACAAATTGATAACACAAACTTGTGAGCTGGAACTACAATCTTGCCTCGCTTACTGTCGATTCCTCCATGTTGGGACGTTCGAACGACGAATTTGACATCACTTAAGGTTTCACTATTAAACAGAATCTTGCTTGTTTGCTTCTTATGTCTTGTCTCTTCTTGCTTTGCTCGCGAAATCCAGACAACTTCATCCATGTCGAATGTCGAAGCACATGGACCAAACCAAAACAGATGTGGAGTAGGCCTGGCACTACACACTCCAGTCAACTTGATCCTCACAGTTAAAGTAAGACATCTCGGGGTAGTAAATGCCAACGGATTTTCAGTGAATTTTTTGATTCAATTCACTTTCATCCAAAATTTCTAAATTTTCTGGCTAAATGGTAATCACCCCCAGACCTCCAAATTTGCCCCACACCCACTCCGGATCCCAACTACCTGAGCTGATTTCTTTACGAAATGACACTTTGACACATTTTTCTACGTTATCAGTTTTCAATTTTTATTTTCTTTTGAAAGCTTATAAGTGTCACGCATCAACCGTGGATAACAATTTCTTTCGTTTTTGTTCATCCTTCACATTTACCTACTAGTAAGCTATAACCTGCCAAAGCAGTTGGTGGGTGGATCAACTCCAACGGAAAAAAAAAATAGAAATCTAAGATTCTATTAACTATCCCATTATCCACATGCTGGGGATATTGTTAACAAAGGGAAGCCTTTATAACAATGATTTTATTTCCCAGGCAACCGTCCTGCTGAAAACACCTGTCACATACCAAAGGTTCTAGTTTACAGCTGTTTTACCCTGAAATAGGATACAGCTTTGCCCATCATTTTAGTTTTTAGTCTTACATGGGACTCCCAATTCTTTCAAGGTAATACCGCCACATTGCGATGAACAAACCCAGTGAAAAAGGCTTCTGTGGAACATTTCTCTTCGTACATCAGGGGCGGATCTAAGGGGAGGGTACAGGGAGTGCATACCCCCTGCCCTGATGTGAAGCCGTCTTCTTCGTATCCGCTTTTAAAATTTGTTTACCTCACCAGTCAGTTAAACCATTGCTTAGTGGTGCACCTCCTCCCAAGAAAAATCCTGGATCCGCCCCTGTACATTGTGAATACACTGTGAAGCAGACAAGTGCCCAACCTGTGATGAAGCACTCTTTTCTTAAAGCGAGAAATGTTGGTGGAAGGCTGAGGAGTGAAAAAAGAGAACCTGACACAGGTTAATGGTGGCCATTGAAACTGGATAGTGAAGTGTCAAGGTAAGCTTAATGTGATGCTGTTGTGACAGTAATGAGAAAATGTTATACTCATAAATTGCTTCTTATTTGTTTTTTTATGTTTCTATTTCTTACTTGACACCAAGGTTCTGGGGAATACTAGAGAAACACATTCACACTGAGTCATGAATTGCATATTTTTCAACATATCATTTATTTATATTCTGGAAATGGCCATTTCCTGTTCTGTACCTCACTATTTCATGTTTCGTACCCCTTTATTATTATTTTTTTTGAAAAAAAGCACCAAATTGAATACTGAACTCTCTGTGATTAGTAGCAAACTGATCAACATCTCCATGGAAACATCAACATTCAATACTTGGTCGGCCTCCATTTGTCTCAGGAGACAATGGAATATTTGCCATGGAAACATCAGTATTGGAAACTTATCATCAAGCGCATTTATTTTTATCTCAATAAAGAAAGTGAGAAACTGAAAGCCCTTCCGGTCTCCAAAAAGTTATGGGTGAACAATAATATGAAAGTTTCTTAAAACTACACAGAGCCATAGAGCTCTATAGCTATTTAGCCTATGGCAGCCACTACAAGATAAAAGTTTGCTCATAAATATCCCAAACTTTGTAGACATCTAGTAGAACTAAATATAAAACAACTCGTCTACTCTACCTTGAAACACAGACAACCAAAGAGTACTAAATGACATTTAACACCAAAAAATGACGAATTGACGATAAACTACATGTTAAAACTTGTAAAACGTTGTTTTTTTTTTTCAATGCAGAAATGTTACAGTCCAAAATTTTCTTCATTATAGAGATTTGATGTTTGAAAAAAAAATTTCACTGGATGAAGGGAGAGTGGAGAAGATAATAACATTAAATAACATACAATAACTATGTTGATTATTGTCTTGATTTGAGACTATCCACTAACCTGAAAGCAATAAAACAAAACATGACAATAAGCAAGTTCCTATAATTACAGGAGGTTTGATATTGTTGACATCTCTACAAAATAAATTGCATCCTCCCTGTACTACACAGGGTTCAACCAAAGTTCTAGACAGTATTCCAAAGTAGCAGGAGGGATTTCATGAAGAGAACATGCTAGGATGTTTGTCATACCCTGGTAGCCATTTGGTGCAAGCTTCCCGGGGGGTCTGGGGAATGGCCCTGGAAATGTTTTGATGTGAAATTTTCTCATGAGAATGTCATTTCCAACATTCCCAAGAGTGGAGAAGAAAACTTCTCTGGTGAGCAATTTAGTGCACATTTAAATGTTCTAATCCTAGCAGATGCTTAGTACTTTCATCTTATGGAAACTGTGGTTATGTCCTGGTATTGATCAAATCAAATCTAATCATCAAGACTTTATTTATCTATGGTAAAGATTAAAGCTATAAGCTTATGGGGCCGTGCACTAAAATAAAAGAAAAAATAATATATACTGTAACCTACTATTATTACAATTACATCAAAAATATGCTCTAAAAAAATCATACAATTAAACCTTCTATCTACAATTACTAAACCTTCTTTTTACCGTTCCCATCCTCCCCTAACCTATTTAGTTCATACTCCACTCCCTTCCCACCCATACCTCACCGATCAGTATATATTAAATATGAACAAAATCTGGGTCCATTTGTTGCATGACAGAAGGCGACTCGGCTGAAAAGTTCAACTGCTTAAGCTTTTTGACTGCCAAGCCTTCTTTATGAAGGCGTTGATTCCTCTGCCATTTGCAAGAGGCGAAAGAAGGTTCGAAATGATGGCTCCTAGATAGGCAATGGAGTTATTCATATAATAACAGTTAGAAGAAGGAACTGCTAATCTGTTTGCATATGATAAACCATTCTGCCATCTCACCCAGTCTCAATGACTGGATTGAGAGACTTTGCCTTTGTCTTGCAAAATGTTCAAAGTGTCCTTTTGTTAACTCACCATTCCATAGCTTCATCAAGCCCTTCTCCCTTAGTAGCGGAGGTTTTAAATATGGACCACGTACGGCTCTTTAATGCAGAAAGACCCAGAGCATTGGACACCTCAGATGCCGACATGGCACCTTCCATATCCTGACAGACGACAACATTCATGTTACAGTATTTTCTAAATAATTAACTTTACTTTGGTTTCCCATCCTCTGAGCAGCAGCTTTTACTGCAGTGTACAAAAAGAGTTGTGTTTGATAGCTTCTGGCTTGAAGATTTGCAGTTGGATAAGGGATTCTGTCCTGAAATTTCTGAAGTTTTCTGGGAAATATTTTCAGCAAATTCAAATAACAGCAGTGCTGTATAAGATATATATATATA